TTAGCCACTATTGCTGGTGTCCGAAAGAATCTCATTATTACCTTCCACTTGAATTCCCTCCATGAATTAGAATTGGTTACAAGATGGGCTTCAGTACACATTTCATCCCATGTGTCCTCTGGTATGTCTACATTCATTTTGGTTTCCCATCTTCTTTTTATCTGCAGTGTATTATTCAAAGTCATACCTGAAAATATATGATAAAACTACCTATAATCTTCTTACCCTCGTTTCCAGTTTGTAATTTTAACAGAAACTCCTCAATTCGAGTGGGCTCCAAGACTTTATTCCATTCTTTATGTTTAGTTAAAAATGTCCTTAATTGTAAATATCTAAAGAAACCAGTGTTAGGGAGTATGAATTCCTCTTTTAGTTGTTCAAATGATTTTAGACTTCTACCCCTACGGAGTTGGTGTAGCTTAGTGAGTCTATGTTCTGACCACTTCCTAAAACCTGCATCCATATGGGAGGGAGCAAAATCCTTCATAAATCCAATGTCAGTTAGTGCTGAGATTGTTTTAGGTAATCCAAATGATACTTTTATTTTCTTCCACATTTTTAATGTGACTCTGGTCCATTCACACATTTGAGTGTCCCCTAATGGGACATCTATGAAAGGCAAGGCCTGTAGGGGAGTAGCACACAAACTTTTTTCTATGTTTAGCCAGCGTGTATCTGAGAGATCCTGAATCCATATTGTTAAGAGTCTTAACTGTGCAGCCCAGAAGTAATGTCTAAGATTTGGGAGTTTGAGGCCTCCATGGGATTTAGGAAGTTGTAGTGTTTTCAGTCTAACTCTCGGCCGTTGTCCTTGCCAAATGAACTTTGAAATAAGTCTATCTAATTTATCAAATGTGGATTTTGGAATATCAATTGGGAACATCTGAAATAGTATAGGTAGAGAAGCTTAGGGAGTATATTCATCCGTACACTTTCTATACGACCTAACAGAGATAGTGACCACCGGTCCAGATCCCTACTAATATTCTGAGTTATAGGTTTGTAGTTTGTATTATATAGGTTGTTTAATGTTAGCAGAATTTGAATGCCAAGATATCTAATACCATCTTTTGGCCATTTAAACCCACTCTGAAGTTTGACTGATTGTGAAATATTACCACTTATATCCATAGCCATGGTTTTGTCTACATTTGCTTTATAATCTGAAAGGAACCCATAAAATACGATGCCATCATTTTGATGACAAAAGATATGACAGACCAAAGATATCTGTGTTGCCAGAACTTGCAATATACATGTACTTCACATAGATAAAAGAAGTGACTCTCAGTGCAACATCTTTGAACCTATAGTATTCTCTGGTGTAAATGAGACTGATAGAAGCTGTGTAAACCAAAACAGTGCAGTCATGGCCTACAAAATAAAACGGAGTAAAAATATGTAGAAACCTTCTGTAGGGACCTAAAAGACATGTGGTTTTTATCTGTGGGTTAAGAGTCAACACTACTGGGAACACAAATTGTTGTTTGATCCTTGTACTTATGAATATATTGAACAGCTTTTGGTGCAGTGTGCTTATCATGGTTTTGACTGAATATGGCTGAGACTTTTTCCTTTTGCCCCCAGCTCGCTTACATTAATACTGTACTACAAATATTTATGAGAGATGATTAATCATAAGTCACATAGATCAAAAACTGTTGAATAGGAAACAGTTACAAAAACAAAACAAGAAATCTCAATGTTCCTGTCAAACATGAAAGTATATGTGGTTTTGACATGAATTTCTAAACAGCTGCATGTCTTTAAACGTAACACATGATTCTGAATTGATGTTTACCATGAAAGCTGCATGAGCAATTAATAGTTAATGTATCAGGACTTGTGAATGTTGTTTTTCTGCACATGAATGGTCACCAAACTCAATCTTAAAGAGAGAATAGATGTGCATTTACATTTTAAATTATGACAACGATTTACTCTCAAATACAATACGCACAAGTAAGAGATTTTCAATTTTAAGCTATTTACATGTTTCATTGTCCAAGTGGCCTTAAACTCATGTTTCAGAGTTTAATAACTTTTAAGTTCCCCATTAAAACGTGAAATGTTATGTGTCCATTTATGCTTTTGTCTCGCTGTTGGCGTTCACTATACTTTATTTTCTTGTCTTCTCAAGTCTCCCATATTACTCAAACTTCCCACAATGATCTTCAAGGAAACATTCAAGTTCCTGCCATAAGTACATCTGTTCAATGGCATGTCATGTGTTTAGTATGCCCCTAGTGGCTATGCATTAAAAACTGACCTCATGTCTTGTAAACTATAAAAAATAAATATATAAACTTGAAAGCTATAAACACAGATACTGAAGCAGCATTGTGTACAACTTAGCAAATTGGCTGTTCAGGACTTATCACATCATATTAACTTTTTATATATGAATAAAATGTATAGTTTGCTAAAAAAACAAAAACTTCTCAGTTTTCTGCATTCACAAACCTGATTTCTTCTGCTTCAAATTCTGGTTTACAGGGTGGAGAAATTATTTGATTCTACATCCTTTTTTTAGATGATCCTTTTTTGCAAACTTGGATGTGTTGTGTGGACCTATAATTAACTTTTTCAATGTCTTTTTTCAACTTCTTTGGAAACATTTTCTGACTCACTTTATCTCCTGTTGTTTATTATTATACATTATATACATTATTATATATTATACAACAGTTTTGACCGAGTACTCTGATTGGACAAGAGGTCTTCCACGAGTACTGATATTAAGAACAACATCACTGGAACTTTTCAAGATGGTACGACTCTGCTCAGGACTGACAGCAGATCCTTACTTTACTCGCTGCATTAGTTCAATTGATTAATTCATTATTTTATTTCATTTTATTTATTTATTTTAACAAATGTACAGTGTCTTTGAGTTTTGAAAAGCGCTTATAAATTAAATCTATAAGTATAATTATAATTATTATTATCATTATTATTATTAATAAATAAATGTTCTGTGGTAGCCATGAGACAAACTAAGTAACAAGAGAGCAAGAGAATGTTTGGGTTGCTTGGCAACAGATGAGTTTTATTTTAGATAAAGAACTAGTTAAATTGGTGGAGGATAAATGTATAATCTGTTGTTTTATTTAACTTTAGTCTTCTATTAAAAAAAAAGTTTTTCATTTTTGGGCATGTTATGCCTTTATTAGAGAGATAGGACAGTGGATAGAGTCGGAAATCAGGGAGAGAGAGAGCAGGGAATGACTTGCGGGAAAGGAGCCACAGGTCGGATCTGAACCTGGGCCGCCCGCCCGGAGGACCACAGCTCCCATACATGGGGCGCACACACCAGCCACCGCGCCACCAGCGCCCCCTATAATTTGGTTTATGAAGTGTTTTCTTCAGCACTAGGCAGCGGTCTTGTTCCTCAGACCAACTCACAGCTGTGCTGATATTTAGAACATCACTTGCTCTCGTGATATTGCTTAATTGTTTTCTTCAGGAGTATTGACATACTTACAGTACATGCAGGCACCAAGTGGACTGTAAAAGCATGATGTATGAAATGGCTCCTCTAAAAGATCTTTATTTGAACATTTCATAGTGTGTTTGCTCAAAAGCTCCAGAAAATAGGGCACATTTTTTTAAAGTCTTTATTTTGGAGCTTTCTATACCGTAATCACAGAGATAGGACAGTGGATAGAGAAAGATACCAGAGAGGGAGAGTGGGGAATGACATGCAACAGAGGAGCCACAGGTGGGATTCAAACGTGGTTTGTCTGCTGTGAGGACTGTAGCCTCTGTACATGGGGCGTGCAAACTAACTGCTAGGTCACCAGCACCCAAATAAGGCCCCTATTGAGAGCTTACATTAAGGGAGACTATAATTCCACTGACCTTTTATTTTCATACTTCAAATATGTAAAAACATTCATGGTCTGTGTTTCCTGCACAGATATTTGAAGAACCATTTCTACTCATCGTCAGTGAAGCGGGAGAACACAAGTGTCCATGACACCCTGTGCTGCTGACATGAGTACCCTCTGCACGTGCGTGTATAAAACCACAGTCCTCACAGTGAGGCAGGTCAGCGGGTATCAGAACGTGACCTGAGGCCAGGCTCACTGCAGGAGATCGAGTTTCACCTGCAGAGACATGGGTCACATGGAGACACAGATAAACTGACAGACAGCAGCCGGGAAACGTTCACAAGAGGTTCATTGGACATCTTAGCCTGTTCTAGGGACTATGCATGAATAAAAGCTTTAGATTTATCAAACTTTTACCACAGTGATTTTATTTTTAATATGTTTTATAACGCTGTGGACATAATTTGTATGCTGTGTGGGTGTGTGTTGCACATTTGTTTTGAAGCATATTAGTGTTTGACAACATGTAAGAGTTGTACCCAGAGCTTCTGTATACGTGTTATGATGTTGCCTCTTTTTTGCACCCATGTTCATAATGGCTACTTTGGCTGACTGTTTCAGGAGGAACTGAGAATTGTATTTTATGTAGTAAATGTATTTTGACCTGCAGGATGAGAAAGTGTTGGTATGATGAGGTTATGCTTTATATGAAGCTGCATGAGGAAAGGAGGGATGTTGAGAGTAAAATCAGACAGATTTAAATGGCAAAATACAGCCAACATCAATTTAAACACCAGTGGTTAAGATTTGTTAGCATCAAACTGTGAGGATGAAGACTGCTCTCCTAATCCGTCCCTCCTCTAAATCCCTCCTCCAAAGATTTAGAAAAACCTGCATTTGCCAAATAACTTGCAAAACAGATCTTCAAAAGATCTCCTGAGAATAAGAACGACTTGGAGATGGCATGAAGTCACAATAAGTGTTAAAATAAACATGTAAATATGCAGAATTTAGCACTCATGGACCCTTTGACTGAAGAAATTTGTATAGCGTTTCAATTTGAATAGGTTTGGAGAATTTCCTAGCTGTATCTTCCTTGACAAATTCATTTGGGGCCACAAAAATCATTTTCAATTTACGCTGACAAAGACAGACGATGAAAGGTCATGAACTCCTGGTTATATATTTGTGAACATAATTTATTTACATCATACATTTATTTCTGTTTTATTGGAGGATTATGCGCACTGCAGTATATAAATAAAGATGTTTGTACAAACTTGCATAACTAAAGGATAAAAAACAAAACAAACTGATTAAGCAGCCAGACTGAAAATTATTAATAACCTACAACCACATGTCTCACTAAGTCATTGCGGCAACACAACCAATTAGCCTCACACAATATCTCATACACGGTCCTCACACACACACACACTTGTGTTTGAACAATCCAACACTTCCAAACTTGTGAATTTGTCACCTCACATTAAAAACGTAGGAAAACATTCAACAGTGAAGTAAAAGATGAAAATGTTAGTGGAGCTAAACCCTTCCAAAGGCAAAAAATTAATACAAGTTTGGGCTACTTGTCATACAACAACACACAGCATACACACACCACGTTCTGCAAATCAAAAATAACATGAAACAAATATTACCGAAAAGAAGAAAAAAAACAGTCGGGCGACGTGCATTGTCTTGTAATTTCAGTGGATGGGTTTTTAAGACCTACAATGCAGGAGATACACGAGCCTGCAGTCCAGATCCACGGCACAGAGCGAGTCACAGCATTCAGCTCAGGATCAACAAGAGGACAAAACAAGTTAAGGGTCAAACTAGGTGATTCTTGTGCCGCACAAACAGCAAGGAGGAAGGATTATGAGCCAGTGAGATTAAAAAAAAGATAGCAACATAATCTCTTCTTCAAAGTCTCTTTTCTGAAAGGGGGAACAGGGTGAATCAGATCCCAGCGGCACAGAGAAGCTTCTCAGATGATAAAAACTTACCAGGTCGTTAAGTGTGACAAAAATGGAGCGGGTTAGACTGTGGCCACGCAGAGAAAAAGGAAAACATTTTTGCTACTCAAGCCAGCAGAGAGCAAGCACGGCTGACACGGCACAATCAGCCAACAGCAGTAACAGTCAAGAGTCCAAACAGGCCCAAGTGTCGGAGCTCCTTCCAGGCAGAGTTCAAGTGACCTCCGGAGGATCACAAAATAGACCTCAACAGCACTTTATCTCAAAGGATAACTGATTTTTTCTTCTTCTGAAGTCTTCCTCGGTCACGTCTCCAGTCCTCACATACATATTTTGTTTGTTCAACACAACCTTTCACATATTTTTTTTTTAACTTGCACACAAACAAGAATAAAAGCTTAAACTATGAAACTGAACTCTCATGCACTGGGGGAAAGTCCTGAAACAATCACGGGGGGGGGGGGGGGGAGAGAGAGAAAGAAAAAATCCTTAAGGAAGAAGGTCAGGCTCAAGTCCATTGTGTACATTGGATTCTTCCCAGTGTTCAAAGTTATATTCTCTGGATCTTGTCAGCAACAACCACAGGGTTCTCTTTGCGGATTTTATCAGCAGCTTCGGCTTTGTAGTCATACGGACAGTTGTGTTTGTCGGAGTAACGATGAATTCCACAGAATATATTCCCACAGCGGCAGTCAAAACCTGAAATGCCACAGCAAAGGACAAAGTGAGTGAAATCAATAACAAGTCCCAAACAAAGGAAAAAAAACCTCAGTTACCTATATTAGTTTTCTGCAAAGGATTGTGATGGATGGGGATTTGGTTAACAGCTTTTGCACCTTGTATCTGCTTACTGCATTTTGCTGTGGACCTTGTAACACTATGGCAGAAAAGCAAATCTTGTTGTGTAACGGCTCAGGTTTGACCCAGACCCGACTGTATTGTATTCTGATCCAGAATCATTACAGCCACCCAAGGCACTTCAGTCTTTCAACCATACAAACAACAAGTAAATAACTTTAGTAATTGAATGCTAGATTCATTTTAAGTTTCTTGCTTCTACCTTAAAGGAGGTCAGAACAAGTCTGTGGCTGATGGTGACATTTTTTTTTTTTTTTTTTTTTTTTAAATGGTAGTGCTACAGTTAACGGACTCATTCCTTACCTGTAAGGCCAACCTTTTTGCGGCACATAAAACAGCGATTCTTCTTGGGTTTTTGGGGCTCTTGGGCATTGGACTCTTCACTGCCAGCAGTGGAGGGATGCAAGGATGAGGATGAGGGCTGAACCAACACTGAAGACACACAAGGAACATATTTGTAGTAATATACTTATAACAGAATGGATCTCTTCTACTCATCTACACAGAGGTGTTTTTGTGTGTCCTTATTTTTATATATATATATATATATATATATTGTGATTCGGCACAAAGAATAGAGTTCATGATATATTAACCCAAGGGCCGTGTCTGTTTTGGGAAAACCTATTGAATGAAATAAGTCAAATCAAGGAGTGTTCCTTCTCAAATTAATACATTCATTTAACATATTGGCTCATGGGTTTATGGGGATATCCCTACCCACTTTCAATGATCAAATATCAGGGCTGATCAAGTTATTGTTCTACTTGTCGGTCTGGTGCTATGGAGCAACACCGAGATACTTTATTTTATGTCAATACAGGTATTTTTTTACTCTTTAAAAATAAATGCTGGGGCGTGCTGGTGGCGCAATGGTTAGGGCGCGCGTCCCATGTATTGAGACTCTCGTCTCGAGTGGTAGGCCCGGGTTCGCTTCCACCCGTGGCCCCCTTCCGCATGTCATTCCTCGCTCTCTCTCCCTGGTTTCCGACTCTATCCACTGTCCTATCTCTGCATTAAAGGCACGAAAAGCCCCCAAAAAATAAATCTTTAAAAAAAATAAATAAATAAATGCAGACACAACGAGTGCAGCTGTTGTCAACTCTTAATCTCTCCTTCATTCCATTCAGTTCAGTGTGAGAACATTCAAATTCTTCTATGATGTGTTAAATAAAATTGCTGTACTTTGTTTGAAGATGTATCACAATTATAAATCAGAGGATATTCACAAAGAGTTCCATATTAGGTACTTACCTGGCTCATTGAGCTCTACTTTGCTTCCTGATGCTCCTATCCCCTCAGAAGAGAGACTCATCTCAGTCATCTGTTGTGTTACAGAAATCGCGGTTGACCCTCCACTGCAAGGGATAGATGTGAAAACAGGTTAAAATGGCTTAAAATATAGGGAGAGTAATTCGATTAATTAAACTTTTCTTTCCACAAATGACTCTTATCTTTGTATCTGTTGAAAATACATTATTGAAGAGCTACACAGAGATGTAACATATATTTGCAGGTTGAATAGTGTTTACGTATACTTTTCAGCTTTTAAAATGGCCACCTAACGAGCTTTGTTTGATGCTCACCTGAGAGCATCAGCAGCATCAGCAGCAGCTGCAGCCTCAGCAGACGCGGCGGCCTCAGCTGCAACTTCTGCAGCAGCAACTGCTGCAGCTGCAGCATTATTCAAAGTGGCCTCTAACCTCTGGATGGCAGACACTTCAGCTGTGGAGCCACCGCTGATGCCTGAAGAAGAAAGTTTCACCACATGTTACAGTCAGGCACAAAGGCTGGCCAATTTTGTAAAATGTTCACATGGAAACAAAGAAAAAATGAGACGGACCCAGCAGGACTTACCCAGAGGACTCAAAGTGCTGACTCCTCCATTGTTCTGTCTTGACAGGTGCTCCTTGTGGCACACCGAGCACATGCCATTAGTCCTAGGGTTGCCATAGAAACCACAGCCAGTAGGACAGAGCATAGGAACCGGGCTCTGATTGGTCTCTTGGGCCATAGTGATGTCTGCCACCTGCTGAGCTGACCTGGACACACAAACAAAAGACAAAGGCCAGAGTGATGAGTGTGTTGTGTGGAAACATAAAGGGGTTAAATAGGGAACACCAATATGTAGAGTGTTTCTATATATTTCTCAAGTAATTTCATGAGAATTGTTTTAGCATAAGCATTTAAAATCATTTTCCCAGACGTGGTTTTCCGTTGATTGATTAATGTCACAGTAGATTTGTACTTTTGTTAAATTTCTATGTAAAGATGAAAGCAAAACATGTTTGTCATTTCTAGTTTTATGTTCGCGAAAGAAAAAGACAAGTAAAACCATAAATCAAGGTTGGAGTGAAAAAAAATCAGTGATTTTATTTTTAGGCCATATCGTCCAGCTACAGCTCCTTCTAAACTGTTTTGTTCCAAAAAATGTAGGAGAAAACATGCAGGTTTTAAAACCTGAATGCTCAGCAATATAAAGCAGTAGCGATTTTCATAATTAGGGCTATTGAGAAACATGTACAGGTAATCCAACCAGCCTTATAAAAACATAAAAGGCTACTGCTTGTGATATCATCACAACTTCCTGTTTCAATGACTAAAGTAAAATAATTAAAAGGGGGAAGTATTCACACTTCTACGTTCAGGTGTGGTGAATTGCATCAGAGGCTTCCTCCTTTCCCAATCAATACACCACTGTTTGCAACATGTGTGTCTGTGTACAGACAGTAGTGCTCACATGGGCCTCTGTGTGGTGGATTTCCTCTGTCACAGGAGTGCAATGTGACACTGTGATCCCATTGGAGCACACACACATACACACCTAAGAGTTACCTCTGAGGCAGCGATCATGTCTATTTATACACAACCTCTAGAGTCCTGCACACATGGCTGATTTCGTGCCAGAAGTTGTATCCTGGAGAAGGTTTCCCATCAGCCTTCTAACTAGAGGGATGAAATACAGTTTCGACACTTCAGGAATTGACAGAGCTTTGGGAACAGACTCTAACATGGTAACAAATTACAACATAACACCTGTAGATCACAACAAGAGTCGATCAGACAAAAGCCAATAATAATCACTGAGCACAAGTTACATTATTAATCTGAGTTATAACCTGAACAATATCGTAAAGGGGAACAAAATCCCGATCTTTAGATATATGTGTGCCCATTTGAGATGATTTAAACTACCTTTATAAATCCTCTTGGCTTTAACTCTCGGTGTCTTCCTGACAAACAACAGGCCACAGCAGAGTCACAAATCCACTGAGTCATGCTAACAAGATAATAGCTGCTGCTAGCAAACCCTGTTACAGAGAAGCACCAACAGAGTCCACCAAGTCCAGTTTGTTGTTGTTCTTCAGCTAAAAGACATACAAATTAAGCAACAATCAGCACTATGAGTTGTATTCATTATAGAAGTATTCTGACTAAAACAACCTTGTGAGCTGATTCTCGTGATCTCGCTAATGATAGCATGCTAGCTGTTAGCTTTAACAGTTAGCTTTGTCTGTTCTTTGTTTTCTTCACACCTCAAGAGGAACTAAAGATTATTAATATGACTAAATACCGAGGGGACATTTGAGAAAACACCCCGTGTGATAGATAAAAACAAGTCAGTTGTCACAAACAATGACGGTGAAACTTTGAGAAAGTAAACAACAGATTCACGTTAGCATGTGTACAGATGCTAGTGCTAACAGATTAACACATAAATACACGTGTATTAAAAAAATCTACTTTTCTGTAGTTAAATTCTAACAACATATAAAGTCTATTACACGTTCGTGCCAATGCTAAACATTATCAACTAAAACTGCAACTCCAGGATTTCTTGAAGTTCTTGTTCTGGCTCAGAAACAATCACAAGTGGTAACTTTCTTTGAGTATTTATTTAATGTTTACTTACTGATTTTCTTTTGACCCTCTGGATGAGGAGACAACAAGGTTAACTCTCGATCTTACAAACTAGGGCCGTCTAGGTGTGTCGTTGTTGTTTGTGCCTTGTCTTATCGGTCTTTTCTGCCGGGGACTAGACTCCTACCTTCGGACAAACTCGCTGACGTCCTCTGTCGCTGATTCGTGTTGGCATCTGTTTTGCCTTACGTGGTGCGTTTGCGTGCTCCCTTTCCGGTGTACGTCACGGAAATTGTGACCCTGTGATTGGAAGGTATGCTTGTTGGAGTACAGCCATGCAAGATTTCAGACACAACACCTACTTCTTTCATCATGTGAACAGGCCATAACATCACTGAGACTCTGAGTGTAACTTGTGTGATAGTAAATGTAATAACGAAGTTATTCGTACTATCCTGAGCTCTAGGTTTTTCCGTGATTACCACAGAGGGCTGCATACTAAGTTCCCAAAGTTAATCTGACTAAAGCACATTCCATATATATTAAGATGCCTGTTTTCCCTAAAGTGAAAGAAACCAATTTTAAAATAATTCACCAGATTTATCCAACTGCTGCATTTCTCAAAAAAAGTTAAATTTAGATGTGAACCCTTCAGTGCTTTCTGTGGTGAATCTGAAGAGACTTTAGAGCACTTGTTTGTATTCTGTGCTGTGTCTCAAAGATTTTGGGTCAACATTAGAAGTTTGTTGTCGCTAAAAATTAATGATATTCCATCTTTTGATACTTATAGTATTCTCTATTTTATGGATAATTTAAACCCTTCAATTACTGACATAGTAAATGTTATTTTACTCATGAGTTAATATCATATTCACTGTAGTAAGTGCAGAAACAGCAAACCCTCCTTTGACTGGTTTATAAATAATTTCAGATATTTTTCTTATCTCTGAAAAAAATGAAATCTAGCAGGATTGGTAGAAAGATTAATGCTGATTTATCGAAATTCTTGTTGTTTTGATTTCTGGCTCTGTAACTGCTCAGTAAAAAATAGTTAAACTGTAAATGTTTTACGCCGCAGACATGCAGATACAGTCTGTGGATTTCAAAAAATAAACTAGTTTAAATGGTGTTGCCTTCATGTGCTAAACTCCAATGCCTCATTGTAGAAGATATTCTACTTGGACTTTGACTCCCCAAGATAGACTTTAAATATTACCCAGTAAAGTTGAATTGTTATTTTTGTGGAGGATGGGGAAAGTACACTTACAAATGAGATTGCAGAACAAAGAGGTTTAATTGTTATGAGATAATATTTTGATTATAGGTGTTGAATTTTATTTTTACAAGCAATTATATATTTGTTGTTTTGTTGCTTTCTGGTGTATAACAAAATAGTTTTATTTGTTGTATTTGTATTTTGTCATCTAAATATGCTCCTCGGAGTAATTTGATAGTTGATATTTGAAAAAGCTGACCAGACAACCGGAATTCTTTATTTTATTTTATAATGTAATTTTTAAGACTTATATTAACAGTTTACATTAATTTTAACTTCTAAGTTGGCTATAAAATACATTTGATTTAGGGGTTATCCCTTAAAGTTCATTTTTTATATTTCTGATTATTCAAACATTATCCTTATAAGGATGTTTTACTGTATTTTGTTTTTTGTTGCCTTTATTGCTTTCAATATAATTTTCCCACATATGAATGTTAATCATATTGTGCCTACAGTCTATTGTATAAGCAGACTATTGATTCGACACTTTAAATGATTGATCATAAAAGCTATTAAATTATTATTATTTTAGAATAACCTACGACTTGTAAGTTTTGTGAATGGATTTATCATTGTGTTACCTTTTGAAAGGGCAGTATGTGCTTTTTGAACGTATGGTTAGCAAAGCACTTACAGGAAGAGGAAATGATAAAAAAAAAAAAAAAGTCTCGGACCACGTGACCACTAGTTGTCCTGGGGATGCATTTGAAACAGATGCGCTCGACCAATCAGGTGCTCTGAAAATTCCGGCTGCAGCGAATCAGCGTGCAGCGAGCGAGGATTTAAACCAAGACACACACACAAGCTACAAAGTGCATCATCCTCCATTACGAGTCTCCGGCTGTTTGTGGAAGCAACGCTCATAACGAAATGGCTCTCCGAGTGACAAGAGTAAGTCCTTTAAACTTCACATTTTTATTTTCTCCATACTTTATACTTTGTTTACTCTCAAACTCTTTTCTCACATTAATTTATATTTTTTGTACATACATTGTTAGATGTCCTCGTGCGCATATGTGAGGTGCGATCTCGCGCAGCTGTTCTTTATTCTGAGCCCAAAACAAACTCAACAGCATTTAATTAATCAAAAATAAGGAATGCATTAACGATGAATACTTTTATATTCTTTCACAGAACCGCTTGGCCTCTAACAGGACCGACCTTGGTGGAAAGGCTTGCTCGGTGACTGGGCCTGGCCTGAAGCCTAGAGCTGCACTGGGCGAAATCGGAAACATTACAGCTAACAAAGAGCCACAGAAAAAGGTAAGAGAAATGTTTGTACAGCCGTATATTCCCCTAAATCAATTGCATATTAGTCATATTTAAATATTGTATCTTACCGCAGACACAATTCCTGCTAATATGCAAACTTATATTTATAAGGCTGTTTTGAAGTGTTAGGCTTATTTTTTTACTCTGGCTCTAAATGGTTCACCATATACACCCTATGTCAGTAAAAATCATTTTTATGCATGACTAGCAGCTGTAACTTGCTCATGGAAGCCTTAATGTAGGAATCTTGTGCTTTCATTTGATTCCCTGTAGAGTTAAAGGTAAAAGTGCTTATTAACCACTTAAGCTGTCATTTAACTATCAGTCAACTATTAGCATGTAATTGGGGTTTTTTTGTTTGTTTTTTGCTCAAAACTTGTACAAGTTGTTTTCTGGTCCCACTAACTTGTAACTTTCATTTCAAGGCTGTCAAGACCGAGGCCACAAAGACAAAAGTTGCCACCAAAGTAGAAAAAGCAGTTGTTGAGGCACCAAAACCTAAAAATGTTGTTCCTGTTAAACCCGAACCTGAGGTGCAGGTAAGCTATCTGGCCTGTAGTAGTTTAAAAAAGAAAAAATTACTTGGTGGATGGGTGTGGCTCTTGCATTTCAACTAATATGGTGTTTGTGAATCCTTCCAGCTTGAACCTGCATCCCCGACTCCCATGGAGACATCTGGCTGTGAGCCTGCAGACCTTTGTCAAGCCTTTTCAGATGTCATCCTTCACAACGCTATCAGGGATGTGGATGCAGATGACTATGAGAACCCCATGCTCTGCAGTGAATATGTGAAGGATATCTACACGTACCTCCGACAGCTTGAGGTTACTTATTTTCCTCTTGAATGGCTCAATTCTTCCCTATATTCTCTACCCACCTTTCAAACCCAGTTCTCTGTTTCCAGGTGGATCAGAATGTCAGACCTACTTACTTGCAGGGTAAGGAGGTGACTGGAAACATGCGGGCCATTCTCATTGACTGGCTTGTGCAAGTGAATCTCAAATTCCGTCTGCTGCAGGAAACTATGTACATGACTGTAGGAATCATTGACCGTTTTCTTCAGGTGCGTAACTGTATCAAACCTCAGCTAAGCTGTGTAGAACATCTCTAATCCTCTAGCTAACAAGCTGTGATTTACTCTAACAGGACCACCCAGTCCCCAAGAAGCAGCTGCAGCTGGTTGGTGTGACTGCCATGTTCCTTGCTTCCAAATATGAGGAGATGTACCCACCAGAGATTTCCGACTTCGCCTATGTGACCGACCGTGCCTACACCACCGCCCAGATCAGAGACATGGAGATGACAATCCTGCGGGTGTTAAAGTTTAAACTGGGCCGCCCTCTTCCTCTTCAGTTCCTCAGAAGGGCTTCAAAGATTTATGAGGTTTGTAGCAGAAACTATTCAACTGACTACTGTTGGTTTATTCAGTGACACTAACATCTCTACTCTTGACTTGTTTCAGGTAACTGCTGAGCAACACACCCTGGCTAAATACCTCCTAGAGCTCACCATGGTTGACTACGAGATGGTTCACTTCCCACCTTCCATGGTTGCAAGTGCTTCTCTGGCTCTTACCCTGAAGATCTTGGATGCTGGTGAATGGGTGAGTCTGACCAGCCTAGCTTTGTTAGGTATTCTCAGAGGGCGGTGAAGTGTTGGGTCAATCTGGAGTTGACTAACAACACTGCACAAAAGGTGTTAATGATTTTATTTTGCTAAATATAATTGCCTGAAAGATGTGCAGCTTCCAATGTATATGGACAATTTTGTGTGAAGACAAAAGTGCATGCTTTAGTTTCTTTTTGTTTGTGCCTTAATCTAGCTCTCAAACAAGCTTTTATCACATCCACAAATGGTACAACATGTAAGGGGGGGAAAAAAATGCTCAACTAGTTTTTCTGTATTCTTCCTCAGGATGTGACACTGCAGCACTACATGGACTACACGGCAGAGAGTTTAATTCCTGTGATGGCACACATCGCCAAAAATGTTGTCAAAGTGAATGATGGTCTGACCAAACATATGGTACGTGTGAACAATGTTTGAATGAGATCTGAACATTTGGAATAACTGGTTCGCCCATCTTGGTAAATGGCTGACTTAATGTCCTAACACTGAAACCTTGTGTCTTCTGCAGGCTATCAAAGGAAAGTATTCAACCTCCAAGCAGATGCGGATCGCAGCACTCGCCCAGCTCAAGTCTTCACTGGTAAAGGATCTTGCAAAGCAAGTCACCCAGTGAGATGACTGTCAAGCACCATGTGCTCATTTGTACAGTTGTAACTTAAACTTTTAACCAGACTGAGGGGTTGGCAAACTGAAGACCATATGGTTTGCATGTTTTACTACCTGACTATTTTAGAAAGCATGCCACAAGATTTAATTTCCAATCGAAGAGCTGGCATTGGAGACCTCATGGGCCACGCAAATGTGCAGCCAAGGCTTAAAAAAACTGACTTGCTCATCAGTGATAAGCATGTCACCTTATTGTGCACAAAACTCGGCTATCTAACTGTTGTAATGCAAATAATGTGTCAATTAATGCACTACTTACTTTGGCCAAGTGGCATCTTTAAAGTGAGCCTTGAATACAATACTTGTGCCCCTATAACCATGTCTTTTGTAGCCGAAGTGCCCACTTTCTTAAACCGTATGGCCCGCTTTCAAAAATAGTCAGTATTGTGTTGGGTCCATTGGACAAATGTGCCCCCAATCTCTTTTAAATTTCAGATGTTTCTTAATGTGTGTATGGCAGTGACTGTGTAAAATGTACAGCAATACTTTCTTTTTAAATGATTTTATGTTCTTCCATGTGATGTTTTAAAGCTAATTAAATGGTTCATACCAGATGTTTCCTTGTAATACCTTTTACCACCACTACAGGATGCTCTAAGACAAGGGTCAAGTTGTATATCTCCAAACTGATTTGCCTCCTGCTTGAGCAGCGAATAAACTGAGTTTACCTGTTGGAAGTTGCTCTTATATCTTAAACATTGACCCCGCCCCCCCAAAAAAAAGGGAAATAGGTGAATAAAACTTTGGTCCATATGTTTTGCTTCCGTACAACATTTCTAAAATCTAACTTTCACTTGGCTGTAAATGGACAGTTAAAATATGGATGGGTATTTAGGTTATGATTTCTAACATTTCTCCTACTTTAGCTTTAAAGTCTACAATGTCAGTGCATTGAAACACTGGGTTATCTTAAAAGACAACATGCAATCACCTACCCCCAAAAAATGTGTCGAGCCTAACCTGTAAGCTTGTGATTGTTAAAAGCCACACTCTGCCAATTGATCAACATTGAAGGCCAGGGTCTTTCTGCTCAATCATCAATGTAGTCTCTTGAATTACAATGAATGAAATTAAGAATTTTCTAATGGCTTGAGCCAAAGCTCTCATTGCACTACTCCATCACCTATGCTATGCATATCAGAGCATCTATGATCGTGAGTCCAATACAAGTTAAAACTGTTCCTAACTAAGAAGTGATTTAGGTTACTGAGAGCAACTCATTGGGGTTGATGTAGAGAGCACATGGCCTAAAACCTCCAGCTTGAATTTACCCTTTTCAGCCCTAATCATGAAGCATCTGTATGCTACAAGATCTTTTAGCCTATTGTTTAACACCTTTTTACCTGGTTAAATCACAGAAGTTTATCTGGACACTCCCACTACGGGTACACGTGCTCTGCATTAACAAGCCCGAGTATAAACTAAGCTGTGGGAAAGTGTCAACTTTAAAGCTGACATGAAGCAAACAGGAAATTGACACGGATGATTCAGCAACTGTTGGCAAGTCTGGGCATCACTCTTTTGAGCTGTGTCATCACTTCAGAGATCCAGCCTGCCTCTTCAAGTCCTAAAACTGCACCAGTTAGTAGCCTACTATATTGGCTGGTATATGTAGTAGTCTTCGTCAGATGTTTAATATAGTCCACATTTTGTTTGTATAATTTTTTTTTAATATAAATGATAACTTCTATTTCATAAGGCAGGCGCAAAGGAAAGTAATGCACACTGTCGTTCCTCTAATGAACTTACTGGCAATTTTTTTGGACCAAACCATTACCAAGTGTGTGTGTGTGTGTGTGTGCGTGCATCACACTCCAGACCACCCCTGCATTGTTTTGCCTTTGACTTGACACAGTAATAACTTCCACCTAACTATTATGCCCCTGGCCCAATGAAAACTTGGGTGGAAGAAAGAAATACAATGTGAACAGGCAAATCTGAATGATTTCTGGGCAGCCTGTCCTACAGTTTTCATTGTGCATAATGTGAACAAGGCTTCAGTGTATCTTCATTACATGTTTTGTCCAATAGAGTGCACTGGCGAGCTTATTTGAAACCAAAACCTTCTTGTTTTTTCTTCTTTTTACAGCTTGATTAACACAGAAAACATCAAAAAGCAGAGATCTGTTGCATGCAGTGCTTCAGAAAATTGGTAGTACTGTTTCCCGGCCTGTTATTTGATTTGTTTATTTCTAATCTGTGTTTAAATATATGTCCTGCACAAGATGGAATATGGTGTTCTGATCACACATTAATATAACATTAATGGTGTTCTGATCACACATTAATATAACATTAATGACTTCATAAAAATGCATTACAACACAATAAAGATATAAAAGAGCCATGAAATAATTTTATATTTTCTGAAATACAGGTATATATATTATTTGTGCTTCTTACACTTATCTAGCTGATGGCGCTGTTTGTGTCATGACATCCAAACACGTCTGACCATGCACTTGTGACGTCCAGCACCGCCCATATCTGACCCTGAGCCATTCCTCATGCTGCAGAGAAGTGGATAGCAATAAGTAAGGTCTTTTACCTGCTTTTTGTAACATAACAAAGAGTAAGGTATTTTACCTGCTTTTTGTAAAGTGTCTCGAGATAACATTCGTTATGAGTTGACGCTATACAAATAAAAATTGATTGATTGATAAAATTGAATTGATATTGGCAAAACCTGCCACACTAATAACATATGTTTGGCACAAATGTCTTAGAATTCAAAACAAATGAGAAATACAACAGATTCTCTCAAATCAATAGCAGACTAAAAAAAATGAATATCCAGGGAGCTCTGCGATACAGAGTTACAGCAGACACTTTAACAAAGTTTAGGAACACTAAAGCCCAGGTGATCCCAAAAACATGATTGATGGCTGTGGTCTTAAGTGTTCCAGTAAGCAGTGACAGTGAATGAGTAAGCACAGCAGGACCTGGATAAGGACGCAGCTAAATGCATCACACACACACACACACACACACACACACACACACACACACACACACACACACACACACACACACACACACACACACACACACACACACACACACACACACACACACACTTTCCTACACTCATTTGTCTGAATGTCAATGAAAAAAAAAAGTCAAATGAATATGAGATTGTCAAAGTTATTATCACAACACAAAGTATATAAAAGGCTGAGCAAAGGCAGTTTCTTAATTTAGTTTCAGAACATTTATGTTAATGTTTTTTATCCATCCCTCTTAAACTCCCTAAGAGAGTAATATGACTCCAGTCATTGAAATACTTTGAAAAGCCTACATGTAGGTCTCATGTTGGCTGCAGATGCACACACTTCTCACAACTCTAATTACATCACATCAATCCAGCAGTATTTAAAGCTAATGCACGGAGCAGAGTGTGAGCTCTTATCGCTTTAACCCTTTCACAGCTGAGACCTCAGGGGATCCAGTGCCCCCTTTATCCATCCTCTATCCTCTGGGGGGGACGCCAGGAGAGCTTTCCTGTAAAAGTCCACCTGCCATCTGCTTGATGTGAGTCACAGTCTGCGTACATCACAAGGATCATTAGGCCATCTCTCCTGAAGGTCTGCTGACGAACAGCTTGTCTACATCTGTTGCTGCTAAAGACTAACACCAGAAATCATCCGCTGCTGAAAGGGGGGAAAAGCATTATTTGGCATCTTGGGAGTTTGAGTTCATTGTAGTTCATGCGCAGAGTTCAAACTGTGAAATATGAGGATAACATCCACATAAAAGATCTGTGGTGCTTCACTGTCTTGTGAGGTAGAAACACAGCCAAACCACACTTTGATAGCTCAGTTATATAATGCAGAATTATTCACCACTCTGAGAATCTACATTATTATCTGACATTACGAGATGCAGTATCTGACACCTTAACATCCCTTCACCCGTCCACCGCTGCCCCTTCTGTTGTTTTCCACAGAGACACTTGATAATTAGTCTCAGTTATCCTACAAAGCCGGGCTTTTAAACCCACACATCACACTGAGGATTCATGCTTTGAGGCTGAGGTCATGGCTGGGCAGCCATATCGGTTTACAAGACAGATTCCTCCTGTGCAGGGCTCCCAACCGTACACTTGCAGCTGCCTGGAACACTATTTGGCCCTGATGACAAAGACTCAGCCGTGTGACATTTATAATGATGGAAAATTGAAGATAAAAGCAGAGCAGTTCAAGAAAACTCAGCAACTCGACACTGAAACATATCGTTTACTAGTAACCTTTGAAATGCTTGAGGGTCAGCTGACCAAATTTGCAACAAAAAATATTTCCTCACTAAACGCTCTTGGTGTCTAGCCATGCAAATAGATCTGTTTTTTATTTGTAGCCTCTGAGATGTCGGCCTGTAACCAAATACAGAACTTTATGGTGCTCATATAAAGAAAAAGATTGGATTGGCACACAATTTTCATTTTCTTTTTATTTGTAGTTCCTAGAGGACTCAGTAAAAATGTTTTGGTTTTAACATTCAAATCCTGTTCATTTTTATAACCTGATCTTGCCATCATCAGGTTAAATTGTAAACCCATATAAGGAGTGATACAACAAATAACTAACTTCTGGCTCAAAAAAAGAAAAGAAAAAAAATGTAAATGTATTTCTATTTACCTCTTAAGTGTTACTTCAAAAGGACATTAGAGGCCAATCTCTCAAAATCTATTTATTTAAATAATACAAAAAAATATCTGTGTGGTTATTTCCCACTATAATTAAATGATAAAATATATGTAGCATTTTAAACATCAGCATGACAAGTAAGTACATTTAACACACATTCTGAGAAATCAATTTGAGAAGTTTCTGCACATTTCAGTGTCCTTAAAGCCTGAGTGCCTCTGCCCTTTTCCATGTTTATCCAAGCTCATTCCCATTAAATGAATTTGCGAGTCAGCACTGAGGTCCAAGAAGAATGCAAAGCTTGGTTTCAGGCATCTTCAGCAGTACAGATCTCACCCACAAGCTGATCGTCCAAGACCAGAGTGGAGAGTTTAGATCTCCATCCCAGTCTAAACATCGTCCAAGATGGCCAGAGATTTAACAAGTGCACCCTTCAAAATGATTCAATGCCCATTCTCACCTCCTATTCCGAGTCTGCACGGCTCAATTCAGACTGACAAAGTCAAACAAACAGAGGGCCCGTGGCAGCACTGTTCGGGTTTCTGTGGGGTACTAATAGGTTAGCAGCTGGCAGGCAGAATGAGGCCTCTGAGCAGGAGAGCAGAGTGGAGCACAAATAAACACAGGAGCATTCATTTTCACAATTTATAGATTTTCAAATAGAAATCATCTGCTTCCTGAACTCCACTGACCTTGAATGCTTGATGTCACATGAAGGAAAGAAAGGCTCCCATTGTAGCCTGACCCGAGCAGGGATTGAGAAAGGTGAGAGCGCAATTTTCTCCAGAGCACCTTCACTGAGGACCAAACAGGAAGTGATCTTTTCCTCACAATCAAGTTGGCCTATAGACTTACAGATGTGTCAAAATGTCTCAGACAGAAGAGAAGTAGTGGTTATTTTCAAAGGGAAT